CAGTCACTGGTACAGTCAACACTGTCAGTCACTGCTACAGTCAACACTGTCAGTCACTGGTACAGTCAACACTCTCAGTCACTGCTACAGTCAACACTCTCAGTCACTGCTACAGTCAACACTCTCAGTCACTGCTACAGTCAACACTCAGTCACTGCTACAGTCAACACTCTCAGTCACTGCTACAGTCAACAATGTCAGTCACTGCTACAGTCAACACTGTCAGTCACTGCTACAGTCAACACTCTCAGTCACTGCTACAGTCAACACTCTCAGTCACTGCTACAGTCAACACTCTCAGTCACTGCTACAGTCAACACTGTCAGTCACTGCTACAGTCAACACTGTCAGTCACTGCTACAGTCAACACTGTCAGTCAACACTGTCAGTCACTGCTACAGTCAACACTGTCAGTCACTGCTACACTCAACACTCTCAGTCACTGCTACACTCAACACTGTCAGTCACTGGTACAGTCAAAACTGTCAGTCACTGCTACAGTCAACACTGTCAGTCACTGCTACAGTCAACACTGTCAGTCACTGCTACAGTCAACACTGTCAGTCACTGCTACAGTCAACACTGTCAGTCACTGCTACAGTCAACACTGTCAGTCACTGCTACACTCAACACTCTCAGTCACTGCTACACTCAACACTGTCAGTCACTGGTACAGTCAAAACTGTCAGTCACTGCTACAGTCAACACTGTCAGTCACTGCTACAGTCAACACTGTCAGTCACTGCTACAGTCAACACTGTCAGTCACTGCTACAGGTAAACAGATTGATCGAAACTGTGAACGCCAAGAAACCCGGACTCCACCTGCCAAAGGTTATTGAGGAATACAAACCTGGTTATGCGTATGGGAATGTCAAGACCCACAAGCCTGGAAACCCACTTCGGCCAATCATCAGCTAAATACCCACACCCACATACAGACTGGCTAAGCGACTCTACAACTTGCTGACTCCTTATGTACCTTGTGCCTTCAGCCTGAAGTCTCCAAAGGAATTTGTTGACTTACTGCGGGGAGCACGGGCCACGGGGATAAGAGCCTCGTTGGATGTAGAGTCACTGTTTACCAACGTACCTGTGGATGAAAGAATCGGGATGATAGCAGATAGTGTATCGTGATCCGGCTTGTACTCCTCTTGATATACCAGAAAACATACTAAGGAAGCTGCTCCAAGCTTGCACTAAAGAGGCACCCTTCTTGAGCCCGGATGGACACATGTATAAGCAAGTAGATGGGGTCGCCATGGGTTCTCCCCTAGGTGTCCTGTTTTCGAACTTCTACATGGATACCATCGAGCAGAAGGTCTTAGTTGACATGGACTTCAAACTCGCCATATACTGCAGGTATGTTGACGACATTTTTACGCAGGTACCTGATGTCAGACGTCTGCATTAGCTGAAGGAGGCATTTGAGGGGAATTCTGTGTCGAGTTTCACTTACGAGATGGAGAAGGATGGGAAGCTGCCCTTTCTAGAGGTAACAGTTATGGAAACGAACGGAGGCTTCCACACTGCAGTCTACACTAAGGAAACAAACATGGGAATGTGCCTCAATGCCAATAGTGACTACCCAGACAGGTACAAGAGGAGAATTGTCAACGCTTACGTCGACCAGGCTCTCAGCCACAGCTCAGGATGGAAGTAAGTCGATGAAGAACTCTGTCGGGTAAGGCAGGGCCTAGTCAACAATGGCTTCTCTAACGGTTTTGTTGAAGACATCATAAAAAGAAAGGTGAAACGCCATGCAATCTCTGAAGAGTCAACTAACACAACACATGTACCCCCTATTAGACTGTTTTACAGGAACTTCTTTTCGATGGCTCATAAAACGGAGGAAAGTGTCCTGAAAGATATTATTGATGGAACATTATCCCTACAGACAAAAATCAGAAAATGCAATTGACAATTTACTTCAAAAACAATGGCCAACCTACTCATGAAAAATTCCCCAGACACCAAATAGAACACCTTGAAGGAAACCGACGTCGTCTATGCCTTCACATGCCCACTTGGGGACTGTAAGCCCCAAAGAACTAAGTATATAGGCAAGACAACAACGTCTCTTTCTAGGCGATTAACCATGCACAAACAACAGGGCTCCATCAAGGAACATATAATCTCTTCTCACAACCAGACCATCACCAGAGAAATCTTAACATGCAACACAAAAGTCATTGATAAAAACAGCGATAGCAGGAGACTCGACATCAGCGAGGCACTACACTTAAAAAAATCAACACCAGCAATCAACAGCCAATTAATGCACAACTATATTCTACCCACTTCAAGACCCCAAACCAACACTGAAGCAGCGAGAGGAGGTAGGGGCCAATAGGCCTTCTGTAGTAACTTCCATTCTTATGTTTTCATACCCATTGTTTCATGTTCTGTCTTCTGTTTGTCACCTCACCCAAATCTTTTGTGCCATATCACCTCACCCAAAACGAGTATAAGTATGATGAATTTTTATGTGTTAAGTGTTACGTGCTCACCATAGCCCGTGCTACTTGGAACTCGTTCTGAGTAGCTGAATCTATAACAACATATGTGTAAACTAAGTCTTTGAAAATGTAATAAGCATTACGAAACGCGTTCAGGCGTCAGATCAGAAATAAACAATGAATTTTGGAGAGTTAATTTTTCAATTATCCACAACAGTGAAGAAAAACGTAAGAAATATTGAGAAGATTCGTGTTAGAATGATTAATCTTACCATTTTGGTCATATTCAAGAACATATGTCTACAAGAAAGACTCCTACCAAAATTTATATATAAAATTAGATAAACTGACAAAAAATCAAAAAGCATAAATACAGTACCTGGGTGGTACCACACCATTCCCTGAGGTAGTGATGGTGGATGAGTTAGGGGTGAGGACGGTGGATGAGTTAGGGGTGAGGACGGTGGAAGAGTTAGGGGTGAGGACGGTGGATGAGTTAGGGGTGAGGACTGTGGATGAGTTAGGGGTGAGGACGGTGGATGAGTTAGGGGGTGAGGACGGTGGATGAGTTAGGGGGTGAGGATGGTGGATGAGTTAGGGGTGAGGACGGTGGATGAGTTAGGGGTGAGGACGGTGGATGAGTTAGGGGTGAGGACGGTGGATGAGTTAGGGGTGAGGACGGTGGATGAGTTAGGGGTGAGGACGGTGGATGAGTTAGGGGTGAGGACGGTGGATGAGTTAGGGGTGAGGACGGTGGATGAGTTAGGGGTGAGGACGCCTAGTACACTGGCTCTCCGCCTCACAGCCAAGACTGTAGCTGAAAGATAAACGGAAAACGATTACAACTAAAAACCAGGACCCAACACATTGAAAGAAAACCTATGAAGGGGGATAACAAAAATATTCTGTTACAAACACGTTGATGAGAGATGAACTGAGGCTTGTTAACCTTTAGATACAAACTCTTTACACACTACAAATCAACTTTATTAGCAAACTCAACAGAGTTTTACCATCTTGTTGACTCCAGCTTATGCTTAGTATGCGGCCTAACAAGGAAGTGGGATGGTTTAACAAGCGGTAATTAAGGGTATCTGTATCAACACACACTATATTTACATATTTCCATCCCTGGCAGTGTTCCCTCCCCTGCCCCTGGTAGTGTTCCCTCCCCTGCCCCTGGTAGTGTTCCCTCCCCTGCCCCTGGTAGTGTTCCCTCCCTTGCCCCTGGCAGTGTTCCCTCCCCTGCCCCTGGTAGTGTTCCCTCCCTTGCCCCTGGTAGTGTTCCCTCCCCTGCCCCTGGTAGTGTTCCCTCCCTTGCCCCTGGCAGTGTTCCCTCCCCTGCCCCTGGCAGTGTTCCCTCCCCTGCCCCTGGCAGTGTTCCCTCCCCTGCCCCATCCCACTTCTTTTCCTGTCCAACAACTTCACCCCATAATTCCTCAAGCAATTCTAATTTATCACAGCTAATTTCCCCTTCACTACCTCCTCTCCAAGCACCGTCACCCCCCCCCCCGTCAACACAGCTGCACACACACTGGGATGTTATCCACGCCAGGGGGGGGGGGCAGAAGACAGGGAACTTTGAGTGAAAGTGCAAGGAAAGAGGTGTTAAAGTCATGTACATCAATATTGGTGGAATTACACAGCAAATGAGCTCGAAGAATGGACACTGAGGTTAACCAACATGTAATTGATCTCACAAAAACAAAACTATCAGAAGTCATAACTAATTCAGTCTTGCCCAAGATTACCTTGCTGTAAGGAGGGGGAGGACGAGAAGGAGTTGGTCTGGAAGGACTGGACTTTCAAAGAGCTGCAAACCCCATGTTGTGGTGGATTTAATGACCACATAACATGAACCACACCGCTTCAATGACAATAGAAGCGGTGAACTAAAATCCAGGCAGGAGTATGACAAACAATTAGGCAGATATTACTATCCAGGAAAGAGATGCCTCAGTTGTAAGCAGGAATTTGTATAGACTCTTGATTTTCAGACTTGGGACCTCATAGGGCTACCGACGAGAAGAGAAACATTGGCTTAGGAGAAACCGCTTAAGCCAATGTCACTGGACCCATAAGAATGAGGAGCAGTGATAAACCAGACAAATTTGACCCTACATTCACACTCAATAAGTCAGATACAGTATAAGGGAAGTCAATTTCGATCACTCCGTAATGACGTTTGAGTACCTTGTGGAAGTAGGTATATAGTCTTTAAGAAAAAGGCAAGCGGGAAAAATGTTGACATATTGTATGTAAAAGTACGAGGAAATGAAAGACCATCTGCGGAAAATGGAAATGATGAACTTCTTCAGCGGAAAATGCTGGGAGGCAGCTGGCAGATTAGTCCCTATCCGGAGGGAAGAGAATGAAAGACTCGGCTCTAACCCATGCTTTAACCATAGCTGTAAAGAAGGCACATAAGCATGACGGTATGGACAAATGACAAGAACAAAACAACAGCAGAGAGGATAACGGACAGCCTGGAATGAGTACCTCAGAGTGGGAAGGAAAGCAAGAAAGCAATTTGACAATTATAATGCCGCCTCAACAAAGACCCAACAAAATTGATTCACAGTCGCATCAGGAGGAAAACATCAGTTATGGAACACATGATGTAACTGAGGACAGGACAGGGAAGGACTCACTCACTAAGTGTTTGTGTTTGTGAAGAACTCAACAGGAGGTTCCAGGAGGTCTTACCAACAGAGTAAGACGTGTCTGAGCTAATGGAAAGAAAGGAAATTGTGAGGGGGAAACGCTAAACCATTACGACAATATACCACTTGGAAGGGGTCAGGATAAGGATTTGGGATAGGAATGGGGAAAGGAATAGTGTCAAACTACTTAGAGGGTCGGGGATTGAACGCCGACCTGCATATAACGAGACCGTCGCTCTACCATCCAGCCCAAGTGGTTGGACGACATAGGATAAAGAAGCACCTGATGGAGCTATTCCCGACTAAGGTCGTGGGATCAGGTATCACCACAGATACTAAACGAATGCGCGGAAACTTTGTGCTGGTCGAATACTATGATATACAGCAAGTCCCTAGAAACAGGAGAACTGCCAGAGAGTTGAAAGATAGTCGATATACAAAAAGGGAAACAAACATAAAACATTAAACTAAAGGCCTGTGTCCCTTACTTGTAAATATGCAAGTAAGGGGCAAAGGCCGGTTGCCCCTCCCCCCTCCAAGCCCAAGCCCTTCTAGGTCCCACCCCCTTCCCAGCAACACCACCCCTTCCCCTGCCCCACAGCCCTCCAGTGCCCCACTCCACCCCATGCCTAAACTCACTTCCCCTGCCACACCCCCTCCTCTGCCCCATCACCCTCCCCAGCCTCACCCCTTTCCCCGTGCTCCGGGGCACAGCTCCGCACGGTGGAGGAGCAGCCAGTGTGGAGCGCGAGGCCCGGCTGGGTGTGGCCCGGGGCACGGCTCCGCACGGTGGAGGAGCAGCCAGTGTGGAGCGCGAGGCCCGGCTGGGTGTGGCCCGGGGCACGGCTCCGCACGGTGGAGGAGCAGCCAGTGTGGAGCGCGAGGCCCGGCTGGGTGTGGCCCGGGGCACGGCTCCGCACGGTGGAGGAGCAGCCAGTGTGGAGAGCGAGGCCCGGCTGGGTGTGGCCCGGGGCACGGCTCCGCACGGTGGAGGAGCAGCCAGTGTGGAGAGCGAGGCCCGGCTGGGTGTGGCCCGGGGCACGGCTCCGCACGGTGGAGGAGCAGCCAGTGTGGAGAGCGAGGCCCGGCTGGGTGTGGCCCGAGGCACGGCTCCGCACGGTGGAGGAGCAGCCAGTGTGGAGCGCGAGGCCCGGCTGGGTGTGGCCCGGGGCACGGCTCCGCACGGTGGAGGAGCAGCCAGTGTGGAGCGCGAGGCCCGGGCGCACACTGGAGACGAGGCCGGAAGTGGAACAAAACAGCTTGTGAGGAGTAACGAGGCGTGAGGTGTGCTGGCTCCCGCGGCCCCGTCACCACCCAGCCTCTCCTCTCACATAGTGGTGCCTGCACGGTCTAGCTCCAGCTATTGGTCCTCGCCTGGTTCTCTAATACAATGACTCCCGACTTATGTTTCTCCTGTTAATGATCACTTTAGAAAATTTTGAAGGGAGACAACTTCTACCTCAACGAGTTCATTCCACTTGACGGTGTACAGTGGACCTGTACACCGGACCTGTACACTGGTCCTGTACACCAGACCTGTACACCGGTCCTGTACACTGGTCCTGTACACTGGACCTGTACACTGGACCTGTACACCGGACCTGTACACCGGACCTGAACACTGGACCTGTACACCGGACCTGAACACTGGACCTGTACACCGGACCTGAACACTGGACCTGTACACCGGACCTGTACACCGGACCTGAACACTGGACCTGTACACCGGACCTGAACACTGGACCTGTACACCGGACCTGAACACTGGACCTGTACACCGGACCTGAACACTGGACCTGTACACCGGACCTGAACACTGGACCTGTACACTGGACCTGTACACCGGACCTGTACACCGGACCTGAACACTGGACCTGTACACCGGACCTGAACCTTGGACCTGTACACCGGACCTGAACACTGGACCTGTATACCGGACCTGTACACCGGACCTGTACACCGGACCTGTACACTACCCTAAGCGTCTGGCCTGTACCTTTTGACAGGCAGATAGCCATTATATCTTATAGTGTACCCGGCGGTGCCCGGGGATGTCTCTCTCCCTACCACTATCTATTTATTTATCAGTTCATCTATCTGTCTCTCCAATCATTTATGCATCCATCTATCGTCCATTTCTCCATCTGACCACCTATCTGTCCATCTAACTATTCATCTATCCAACTATCTATTCATCTATCAGTTTATCAACTGATCCATCTATCTATCCAACTATTCAACTCTGCATCTATTTATCCAACTATTTAACTCTGCATCTATTTATCCATATACCAATCCAAACATCTATCTACTGTCTGCCTGTCGCTGTCTCTGTCTCGGTCTATATGTCGCTGTCTGTCTCTGTCTCGGTGTCTCTCACTCTTACAAAAAACATGACCGTCTAGTGTGTGGGTGGTCGCCAGTGAGAGGAGCTTAGCGGTGTGAAACATTAAAAACAATAATAGTTACCCCTTAAGGTGCTTCCGGGGCTTAGCGTCTCCGCGGCCCGGTCGTCGACCAGGCCTCCTCGTTGCTGGACTGGTCAACCAGGCTGTTGGACGCGGCTGCTCTCACCCCTCACCCTGATACCTTCCCCTGGCGCGATAAACCTTTGAAAATTGTACGACCAAATTATTGACAGAAGGAAATTGTTGTTAATTTGTTAATTTCTAGCTGTTTCCTTTTGAATTCTGGCGACCCACCCATCCAGCCTATGATCATCCCCTACCCCAGACCATTCCCTCTGCCAATTTTCAGGCCACAACCGTCTGCCCTCCAACTTTCGAGAGACATGCTCTCTTATAGTATAGCAATGTGATGTAATAATATTTTCAGCCTGTCAATTTTAATCATATAGTGAGGTTGTGTGGTCAATCTCTCACTCTGTACCATAACAGCTCCCTAACCTTGTCTATGCAAGACAGACGAAAACATATATATATGGTGCTTACCATTGTATAAATCTATGGCCACGTCTGTGGTAGAAAATAAACTACACGAACGACAAAAAAAGCTAAACTACCGCCATATATATTGGGCGGCGGCCATGTGTGCCTCATCGCGTGGCGTTGGACGGCCCTATAATGAGTCCCGAAGCAAAGGCTCAGTAGTACCTACTTCATTATCATTCCCCGTAAGTTGGGCGACATTATGCGCGCCTCGCTCCACCACCAGCGACTTGTCGTCCCGAGAGACAATGTGCCAGACGACGCTAACCGTGCCCTTCTCAACACAGCCCGGTGAGACGTGCAGGGGCGTCCTGTGAAGCTGTTGTGAGCGCGACAGTAGCGTCCCGCGAAGCTGTTGTGAGCGCGACAGTAGCGTCCTGTGAAGCTGTTGTGAGCGCGACAGTAGTGTCCCGCGAAGTTGTTGTGAGCGCGACAGGAGCGTCCTGCGAAACTGTTGTGAGCGCGACAGGACCGTCCTGCGAAGCCTCTATCAGTGAGGACTCAAGTAACAGAAACTGCGCCTCATTGATTTGTCGTGTGGGACGTACCCTAATAAATTGTATTTAATTTATGTCTGATTATTTGCACCACCGCTTCACAACCATTTAATCCCGGGTTTGATTCTCGGGCCGGGCGTGACATGTGGTTTTCTTTCACCTCATGCTACTGTTTATCTAAAAATAGGAACCCGTCCGTGAGTTAAGCAACTGTTATTGTTGTTATCTTCATGATGGACCATCGCCAGCTACAGGTGCTAGGCTTGTCCACGATGGAAAACGATAGTACTACTACTACTAATAATAATTATAATGATAATATAACGTTAAACATGAAAGACCTAAGTGGGAGAGGAACGATGCTGGACACTATACATAGTGAGAAATTGTCCCTCTGGCCGAGCCTAGCATTAAGAAGCACAAGGCTTCGTATTACTGGTTAGTAGTTTGCTCTAGGTGCTGTCCCTCTGATATCTCCAGTGGTCAGTAGTCCGAGAATGGTAATTTCCACACCCAGTTGTGATAGTTTCTTGCAAATGCAAGCACAAATTTGGACGGTTCAACAGACCTTTTATTGAAGTTTTACCGATAGGTTATGCAATAGGCTGTAGCGTAGCAATAATGAGGTGCAATTATAACATTAATATACAATTATAGAGCAGGCAGGAACTGCTCTCAGATTATATACTCTAAACGTATTTTTGCTACACTGGCAATAGGAAAATGCCAATTCATGCACTAAATTTATTTAACTGCTAAGGATCTAAGCATAAATGGAGGGAATTTGAACACTTGACTCATAACATGCTCTTACTTTCAAATGTTCTCCCCTTGTTCGATCTTGCAGGTTTACACCATCATTGTTGCGTAATGGTTGTGTGTTGCTGGCCAAGAGAATTCAAATGTCCATAAGAAATGCCATGCCAACGGATTTATAGTTGTGAAATTTATCTTGCTACTTGCCGAAGCCTCACCCTTTCACTCCCTCTTTATTGTAGGTAAAAACTGCCTTTTCTGTTCTATGTTTACTTGTGAGAAGGGTTGTCTTCTCCTGATATAACATAATATTGTGAGGGGGTTGTCTTCTCTTGATATAGACAATATATTATATAACATGATATTGTGAGGGGGTTCTCCTCTTGATATAACATACTAGCAACAAAATATCCTGTTATTTTTCTTTGCCACAATAATTTTAGCTTCGTCTACACCCGTCCTCACGTCATCCCAAAGTCTTATGCTGCTCTCCTTAAACCGGAGAAATTCAGGGTTATATTAGCATTAACACCATTGCATAATTTTTTCACAAAAGCTTCAGAGTATCTAACATATAATCAGCATATGCCAAGAGAAATTCTACTAACTGCAGGTTCACCTAGCATGTATGGGAGAGGAGACAAAGCCTAATCGGAGTAGCATCATTATCATTGATGTCACGGCACATCAAATGCTGCTACTGTCACTCTCACGTTAGTCATGTGGGAGCATTGAGAACATTCTAGGAGATTCTGTTTATGCAAGGACTAGCAAGGGAATATTCTAAGTAAAGAAGCATATATTAAGCAAAACAATCTCTCGCCTACCTAGTGACCGAAACTACGCCTTTGTGGTTCTAAATGTTAGCCTGAGCACCAGTGTGGGTCTCAGGAGAGATCAATGAATACTGTTGTTGTTGTTAAAGATTCGCTACCTGGAACAAAGTTCCAAGTAGCACGGGCTATGGTGAGCCCGTAGTGCCTTCAATGAATACTAAAGGCAAAGATGATCAGTATGGTCAATATATTAATTGACATAGAGGATAGCTAGAGTAAATAAGGCTTCAGGATCTCTACAGCTTCTACATTACGCACACTGAGTGATATCTTCATCTTGACCCATACTTTCATCTCTAGCTTGCAAAGATACTTGCAATATACTTCTCCCTGCCATTACCCAATGGGTGATATTCTCGTCATGCACTGAACAAACTTCACAGCATGGTACACCAATGTTAGAGTACGACGGAATCAACAGCTGCCAACACCCACAGTGTTATGGAACCACTTGTCAACACCAACCAGTAACGGCTCAAGCGCCAGGACTCTTATGACAATTCAATATTCAACACCACAAACGTATCTGCCGCCTGCAATTTACAAAACAATATTTCCTATCGTCATACAGTCATTTGGCACGGAGGGAGTGTGACCAATGACAGTAGCACGAGGCGAGTATTTCCACAATATTGGCCAAGGTTAGTATTCACCTAGTTGTGCTTGCGGGGGTTGAGCTCTGCTCTTTCGGCCCGCCTCTCAACTGTCAATCAATCAACTGTTACTAACTACTATTTCTTTTCTTTTTTCTCTCCACACCCACACACCCAGGAAACAGCCTGTAACAGCTGTCTAACTCCCAGGTACCTATTTACTGCTATCTAGGTATAAAAAGCTAGGCTAGGTAACAGGTGCATCAGGGTGAAAGAAACTCTGCTCATTTGTTTCTGCCGGCCCCGGGAATCGAACCTCAGTCCACATGACTACGTATCAAGAGTGCTGTCCACTCAGCTCAGCCACCGGCCCCACCACTGGCCAAGGTTAGTAGCATGGTGTTAGTGCTCATCAATGTCACAGTAAATGCACAATAATAAGGATATGATGACCACAGAGGCATTAAGGGCTTACAACGAGACAACTGCAAGCCTGGCACCAGAGGTTCACATTAACCAAGTATCAACTACGGCTCATCCACTGTATACACTCATTAACTTTGGCCTGGCCACCACATATATCTTCAGGAATAGTAATGACCTTTGACGTTAATAAGGATTTTATTCCTAGAAGGTAGGGAGTCAACTTCTTT